ACTGGCCAATTCTGAGACAATTTGTGAATAAAAATAATGATAGTAATGGATGACAACCCACCAAATAAAATAAGAATCTGTGAGTCTATACCAATATAAATAAATAAACAGGTGAAAAAGGAAAGCTCTTCTTTATAGCAGATTGTCAACTTAAATATACAAGAAATGACAGAGTTAGAAAATCACCAGTGGATGCTGACACTTTTGGGTGAAAGTTTGATGGGAAACAGAGTATTTGCATAATCTCGAAGTATCTCTCTACAAATTTCTTTTTAATTACAAAAGGAAAAATAGTAACTTGACAGTGGAGATAATTGGCTATCACTATACCTTAACAAGTGATAGAAGTTGATGCCTCCAGTAATGGGACAAATAAATAATACCAAGCGCCTCTTGATATGAAGTGATAAAACCACTTCTGTGGTATTCTTGCCAAAAATGCATTATCTGGATTTAATCAGGAAAAAACATGGAACAAACCCAAACTGAGGGGCATTCTATAAAATAATGCACTTACTCTTTAAAAATGCTTCAGTCAAGGAAAACTAAAAAAGGCAGAGGGCGAGTTTCAGCTTAAGGGAAACCAAAGAGGCACGACAAACTTAATAATCAATTCTGGAGCAGATCCTAGACCTGGGTGTGAAGGGAAATCTAGAAAAGACATTATTGGAATAACTGATGAAATCTAAAAATGAACTATGGATTAGGTACTGATTAATATGAAATTTCCTGATTTTGCTAACTGTGCTGTGTGTAGGAGTGTCCTTTGGAAACACATACTGAAGGGCCAGGTTGTCTCCAATTAACTCTCAAACTGTTGAAAAAACTCTACACAGAAGGATAAAACAAACAGGCTAAAACGAAACAACTGGTGAATCAGGGTCAGAGTAAAGGGTATAAGAGGAGTTCCTTCTACTGTTCTTACAACTTTCTGTAAGTATAAAACTATATCCAAAAAAAGTTACTAAAAAAGTTTTTTAATACCCACCAAAAATCACTGTAGATAAAAAAAAGCCTTATAAGGAGAGAGTCAGAGCCGAATGGCACTATTAGCAATGCCCAGGAGGACACTGCTGTGATAAATCAAAACATATAATTTAAAAAATAGCTCTCATAGTTTGGATGATAACCGGTGGAAATGCACAGGGGGCAAACCAACTTTAACAAAAAAATAACTTACTTTAGTAAAAAAATATACAAATAGTTAACATTCACTTTCAAAGACAAAAATTCCAACTTGGGAAATAAGCCATTACTTTGTAAGCACAGAATATTACAGTCTGAAGGGAACTTAGAGATCACTTGATCTAACTTCTATTCAAAGGAGAAGGATGTCACTCAATAATACATCATTCTGATTAAATATAAAAGCCAACACTAAACATCAAATTTACCTTTTGTAGCAAACCTCATGAATAACCTATTTCCTTTAGCAAGCTTATTAGCTGGACGAAGATCATTTCTTAACAGAGACTCTTCTTCGACCTGAGACAACGTGTCCAACTTAAGAAAAAAGAGCATTTTCAATATAAAAATTAAAAAGTCGTTTTTGATATCATATCTATTCAGTAGCAAACTTACCAATGATTAAGAAAGCATCCTGCCTTTAATAGTACTCACCCGCATGACAGGACTAGATCCTGTGTAGAATTTCTGAGTCAGAGTCTTCCCTGACGACCCCGTCTAAAACAGTCTCCATAATTTTCTATCCCTTTTCCATTACTTTTTTTCAAAGCATTCATCACTTCCTGACATTATATACATATCTGTCTGTGTATCTGTGCATTGTCTGTCTCCCCCACAAGAACGGAGGCTCCAAAGGGCAAAAACTTTGTTTTGCTTGATGCTATATATACAGCACCCAGAATTTGGTATACAGTAGATACCCAATAAATATTTTTAAACTGAATGTACTGTAATAGTTCCAATAATAGTACATAACCCACTAGGAAATATGTCATTATTGCTTTTTCTAAATTTTACCAACAGATAACATTTTAAAACCATTTTCTTTTATGCAGTGAAGCGTGAATATTATTCTAAGATCTCAAGATGAATCATTACAGTCACATAAACATAAGGAGACCCCGCAGAAGGTTTAATGGTGAAAGCTAGAGGAAGAACACAACTTATATTTTTATAATGCATAAGACTTCAAGCTTTAAATAAAAAAGACAACAAGCATTTTTTCTACAGTAAAACCTCACATACATCTCCACCTATTACTAACCTCTACGTCACTTGAGTTCTCATCTTCAACTTCTCCTTCTTCAGCCTCATCATCATCTGAGCTGTCTTCCTGCTTGTCTAAAACGGGAGATGAGGGAAAAGATGAACCTGGACATAACTCCATCTCATATATTTTTAAAAGTCTAATATATTCTCCTCCTATTTACTGATGACCCAAAGCCATATGGCTTATTTCAGAAATAACCGGTGATGAGATGCTACGTAACACTCTGCACAGGAACCCAAATGCCCAAGACAGGACTGTGTGAAGAACAGGACTTTTAGCCCAAAGATCCCCCTTTGTGTTCAGTTACCTTTTTTACTTTTCTCAGATGACTTGTCCTCATTGGCATCCCTGCTTCGTATCTTATCCAGGGCTGGCAGAGAGCTCATATTGATAAGGGCTCGTGTGGCTGTCATTTCATCCAGCCAAACCACATTACCTAAAACGTAAAATAAACAGTTAAACTCTATCCAAACCGTACATTCCTTTCGAGCAGAGGCTGCATCACATTCATTGTTACAGCCTCACCTAGCTAGACTGGCATCAGTAAATGTACAAACTAACTAAGGAAAGGAGAGAGAGAAAGTGGTAGTAAAACCTCTTGATGAAATTTGCCTAGAATTGCATTCCCAAACAGGGTTCCACAAAATAATCATTAAGTATTCCATTAAAAAAAAGGGTTCTACGTATTATAACTGCCTGGCACATAATGAGTGTTATGTGTTAGCAGTTCTTGATGATGATGATGAACATCAAACAAATTTGTAATATTCTTTATACTACTGCCCTTTACAGGGAGATGCAAAATGATGTTCCCCCATTGTAAAGTGTGAGTGAGGACCATATCCACAAGATATATACAGCAAGAGGCTTTGTAGCACTAATATAATTTGCCTCTTTAAAGACGAGGATTTAACAAGAGAAATGCTTTGAGAAGTTTTGTAGAAAAAAATCTGTCTAACTTTGCTTAAAAGGGCATTTCTCAAATTTATATTATTGCTGTATCTCAGTTTGGAAAACGAAAGTCTGAAGACTCTCATTTCTGTCACTAACATGCCATGTGGCCTGGGCAAATAATTTCCCTTTTCTGTTTCTCAGTTTCTGATATACAACATGAGGTAGTTGAATTGGATAATTCTAAGTGTCTCTCCCCTCTAATATTCCTTAGCTGCAGTTTTAATGACTTATATCAGGGGTTAGCAAACTACAACAACCTGCGCACCAAATTCAGTCTACCACTTGTTTGTTTTTTTAATTAACTTTAATTTGTCACTGTTTTATTAGGTATAATTGACATACAATAAACTACACAGCCTCCACCTGCTTTTGCAAATAAAATTCTATTGGAAACAGCCAGGCTTATTCGTTTAAGTACTGTCTCTGACTACCTTCATGCTACAACAGCTGAGTGGAGTACATGTGAACAGAGACCTTTGGCCTGCAAAGCCTAAAATATTTGCTATCTGGTCCTTTACAGAGAAAGGTTTGCCAACCCCTGATTTGGATGGTTTTCAAGTTAAACAGAAAAACATCTTTTCCCCACTCATGTTTCTTCTTCTTTCAACGTTGTTGTTGTTATTAACTGCCATCGAGTCGATTCCGACTTATGGCAACCTCATGTGTGCAGAGTAGAACCGTTCCATAGGGTTTTCAAGGCTGGAAGCAGATTGCCAGGCCTGTCTTCCGAGGCGCCTACGGGAGGGTTCAAACGGTCAACCTTTCAGCTAGTAGTGGAGCGCTTAACGGTTTGCACCTCACTGGGACTCCTTTCAATGAAAACACTGAATCAGCATCTTCTTAAGAGAGCAGCCAGGAAAACCAGGCTGCTACCGAGGACACTGTCTGGTAGGTCAACAGGCTGGGCAGCAAGTAAAGCCAGACGAGAAGTGAGTCAGGACAAGAAGCTAGCAGAGTAATCACCAGAGGCCAGGCCAGAGAGGGGGACAGAAGCAAGGGGCAGGAGTTAAAAATTACAGTTAGCTCACAAATTGGACAGCTCACAGGTCATGGCAGGCAGGTGGAGTTCCAGAAAACACAGTTCAAGGCAGGCAGAGGTAAGCTGTCTGGTACAGCATCAAGAGGGTTCTGGTCTAGTACTAGGTCAGAGACACTGAGGCAGAGGCAGCCCTTTCAGTAACTGTATGGCAAGCTGCAATGACAAAGTCTGAAGCCCTGAAAACGCAGCCTCCAGTCTATTCAGTTGGATCCAGCCCTTTGTTGGGCAATTATGGGTGTTAAAAAGGGCTCAGTCATGTACGCTATAGATGCCAGGAACCCTGATCACCAACTCTGACCTGCACATGGGCTACCCATGGAGGATGAGCGAGCAGACTGGTTAAGGCATGCTGGTTCTCATCAGTGGACAATTTTTTGCTCTCCTGAGCTAAGCGCAGAGGTCAGGTAAAGACAAGTAGTCTGGACCATAATCATTCACCATCTTAGATTACAAGAATTTGTTTAAAATCATAAACAAAAGCATATTCAACAGAAAATTTGTAGGTACTTACAGGAGGTATCATCCAACCATTCAATGTGAGCCGGAGGATATTCTTTAAAATAGGAAAAGATATCCTGGGTACTCATCTCATCTACTCCACAAATGTAGATTGTCTCCAGTCTCACTTTGGGGATTGCTGGAAAAGCAGGACACAAAAAAGATGACAGGCTTCCCCACATGCTAGCCCACACTCCACCAGTACCCCTTTATAACAGTTCATGTAACAAATGTTCGGAAAAGAAATATGCTCAAAGAGACAATAATTATTCCAAAAGAAAATGAGGCATAAAAGAAAAGTAAACTATACCAATTTCTACCATGGAATAACAGCATTAAACAATTTAATTCAGAACAGGCATAAAAGGCTGAGAAAGATTAAATAAATGGTGTTGATAAAATAGACCATACCTCTCCTCAAATTAATCTGTAATATTCAAAGCAATAACAAACTCAATAGGATTACGCACTAAACTTGACAAGCTGATTCTAAAATGTTTAAATGTATGCGAAGAGAAATGTGCAATAGTCAAGATAATTCTGAAAAAGAAGAATAAAGACATGTTACCCCTGCATATATCAAAGAATAGTATAAAACTAGAATAAAGAAATCCTACAAACCAGTAAGGTAATAACAGCCCAAAATAAAAATGGAATGAGCAGCCAATCCACACAAAGGAAAATACAAAAGACCAATAAACATATGAAGAGATGGTCGACCTCACTACTAATCAGGAAAACACACATTAAAACAAGATACCATTTTTAACTGACCACATTTTTTATAATTTACATCTTTTAGTATCAAGTGTTCGTAGCCTGTGTTCAAAGAGCCACTGCCCCTGCTAGTGGGAGTATGAATAGGCAAGCCACTCTGAAGGGAAATTTGGGAATGTCTATTAAAAACATAACTAGCACACACCCTATAAGCCTAGGAATTCTCAGTAAACCCACTGCCACTGAGTCAATTCAGACTCACAGTGACTCTATAGGACAGAGGAGAACTGCCCCATAACATTTCTAAGGCTATAATCTTTACAAAAGTATCTCCAGAGGAGTGGCTGGTAGATTAGAACCGCCGACCTTTCGGTTAGCAGCCGAGTGTTTTAATGACCGAGCCACCAGGGTTCTTCTTCTCCTCAGCATCTACCCTAAATGAACACACACAGGTGAGTTCGCAAAGAAGCTCACACAAAGATGTTCACTTCAGCACTACTTGTAACAACGCAATAGCCATCAGAGTAAAGTATTATGGTTTATACATATTACAGAATATTATATACTTAAAAACAATGAGGTAATTTATTAGATGCCATGGAAATATCCTAAGACATAGTATTGAGTGAAAAAAGCAAGTTACAGAAAATTAGATACAGTGTGATGACATTAATAAAAACATAAAACATCACCACACATTTTCTAAGGATACATATTTATGTATACAAATGCCCAGAAAAAGGTCAAGTAGAATTCACACCAAACTACTTAACAGTTGTTACCTCTGGGGAGGGAGAAAGGCTGAGGGTAGCGGTCAAAAAGGAACCTTGGCCTTACTGGGATTGTGTTAATACTTTAAGTACATTATCTCATTGTAACCTTTTTATTGTAAAATATGCAAATAGTAAGAATAAAACACAATTTTAAAATAACTGCATACCTACCACCTGGCTTTCTGCTTAATTTATTAAAGAGATCTGAAGCAAATAAAAGAGTACGTATAAAATCAGGGCCTGTGTAACCTCTCCACATCCCATTTCTCTCTCTCCTTCCCAATTCTGTCAAGAATTCAATGTCCATTACTCGTTTTTATATTCTATGTATTACTTTTCCCAACAACAAACAAACTTTAAATACATATCCACACGTGAATACTTTCAGATAAAAAAGTAAGTTTTTTTGTCATTTCATTCTGAAGAAATGTAAGAGATGAGCTTGCTGGGAGTCTATGGCAGTGTGGCCAGACTAAACCAGGTGAGGACCTTTCCTGCCAGCCCAGATTCATGAAGACAGAGATATCACCAACACTTATGAATCCCAGCAAGTCCTCACTAGTGACTACAACCAAAACAACCAAACCCATTGCTGTCCAGTCAATTCTGATTCATAGCGACCCTACAGAATGGAAAACTTCCCAACAGGGTTTCCAAGGAGAGGATGGTGGATTCAGATTACAGACCTTTTGGTTAGTAGCCAAGCTCTTAACCACTGTGCCACCAGGGCTCCATAAGCATTATCTCTGCAGAAAAATCCTGGGTGCTTTGGTTGACCAGAAAATGAATACAACATAAGCCTATGAGATGGCTGGGAACAGAGAAGATGGTGAGTCACAGTCGTGTCATACTCTCCATGAATCCAACCACATCCAGATCTACACCTCATTTTACAAAGGGCATTCAGAAACTGGGAGGTCTAGAGGAGGGAGACCAGGAAGCCATTTCATATACAGAAAGTTTGGGGGATGGGCAGAAAGCCTGTACTTCTATTACCTAAGGGTTATTGTGTGAATGAGGAAAGGACTTTTAACAGTGTTATTCTAAAAGTCATTCAGTAACTAAGAGACAGAAATGACTAGAAGACAATTTCTGTTCACCACAAGGAGATAACCAAAAACATAGTTGGCTGACTCATAAATAGTTCTCATGTCATCCCTGAAAAGCATTCAGGCAGAGGCCAAAGGACCATTAAGAACTTTGCCAAAAGGCTTGTAGTACTAGAGAGGTGGTTGGTTTAGATGGCCTCTAACGTCCCTTCCAACCGTGAAAGCTTTGATCTTGGGGATAAGGAGAACAAAGCTCCTTGAGTCACTCAATGCAGAATGGCCTAGTGCAGTTCATCCCAAACCGTGTCCATGAATGTTGGCTAAGTGGTTAGGAAACCAGGCTTCAGTCAGGCCAGCCTTCAAATCCCAGCCTTGCTCCTCCTTACCTAGCTGTGGGACCTTGGGCAAATTTCAGAACCTCTCAGAACCTTGGTTTCCTCATCAGTAAAATAAAAATAATAAATACCTTCCCCTCACAGGGTTGTTGAAAATAAAAGTTAACCATATAGCAAAGTGACTGGCATACAGTGGGCATTTAACAAATGGTATCTTTTATTATTATTGTTTTGTTGCTCATAAGAATAAGTAACACCTGGTATGGCTGCAGGAGTCAAGATGCTTATTCCAACTTCCTCATTCTCCCAAGAGACTCAGATGACTGCTTGGAAGATGGAGAATGACAGATAATAATAATAACAACAACTAACATTTACTGGACAGTTACTATGCCCAGGCGCCATTCTAGGAACTGTAACATTTTGTTAGAGCTTCCCAACAATCCTATAAGAACTTGCCCAAGGTCATAGAGCTAGACAGTGACAGGATTTGAATCCAGGCAGACAGGCTTTAGAAGCCATGCTCTTAACCACAAATCAACAGTTCTCAATCCTGGCTGCACATTAGAATGATCTGGGAAGATAAAAAAACACCAACTATCTCTGAGCCTATCTAACTCCTCCTATTCTGATTTCAACTGGTCTGGGACAGGTAAGTTTCCCAGGGTCACTATGAGTAGGAATCAACTCAATGTCAATGGGTTTTTTTTTAAGGCTCAGGTACACAATCCTAGGCCATGCTGTCTCCTGGATGAAGAACAGGTTGTAATGCACACACTGCCCCAGCTGACAATCCCAGGCAGAGCTACTGCCTATTCTAGGAATTTCTTTAGAACCATGAGCTCAAGGTCACTTTAAAAAAAAAAGGGAAAAAAATTTAATTTAACCTGGACAATGATCCTATTCAGGTTAGGTATCATATTCCCATTTTACAGACAAGGAGATTGAGATCTGTTGTTGTTAGATGCCATCGAGTCGGTTCTGACTCATAGCGACCCCATGTATGACAGAACAAAACACTGCCCGATCCTGGGCCATCCTCATAATTAGAGCCCATTGTTGTAGCCACTACGTCAATCTATCTCGTTGAGGCTTCCTTTTTTGCTGACCCTCTACTTTACCAAGCATGATGTCCTTATCCAGGGACTGGTCCCTCCTGATAACATGTCCAAAGTATGTGAGACAACGTCTCACCATCCTTGCTTCTAAGGGGCATTCTGGCTGTACTTTTTCCAAGACAGGTTTGTCCATTCTTCTGGCAGTCCACGCATGGTATATTCAATATTCTTCACCAACACCATAATTCAAAGGTATCAAATCTTCTTCAATTTTCCTTATTCACTGTCCAGTTTTGTGAGGCAACTGAAAATACCATGGCTTGGGTCAGGTGCACCTTAGTCCTCAAAGTGACATCCTTGCAGATCTTTTGCAGCACATTTGTCCAGTGCAATATGTTGATTTCTTTTTTAATATATTTTTGTTTATTGCTGTAGTTTAAATGAAGTTTACATTTCAAGTTAGTCTCCCATACAAAAATTTACACACAAATTATTATGTGACCCTAACTGCTCTCCCCATACTGTGACAGCACACTCCTCTTTTCCACCCGATTCCCCATGTCCATTCAGCCAGCTCCTAACCCTCTCTGCCTTCCCATCTCACCTCCGGACAGAAGCTGCCCGTTTAGTCTCTTGTACCTACCTGAGCTAAGAGGCACACTCCTCACGAGTATCACTTTATGTCCCACAGTCCAGTTCAATCCCTGTCTGAAGACTTGACCTTGGAAATTGTTTTAGTTCTGGGCTGATAAGAGAATCTGGGGGCCATGCTTTCTGGGGTTCCTCCAGTCTCAGTCAGACCATTAAGTCTGGTCTTTTACTAGAATTTGAGTTCTGCATCCTGCTTTTCTCCTGCTCCATCAGGGATTCTCTGCTGTGTTCCCTGTCAGGGCAGTCATTGGCGGTAACCAGGCACCATCTAGTTCTTCTGGTCTCAGGCTGATGAAGTCTCTGGTTTATGTGACCCTTTCTGTCTCTTGGGCTAATACTTTCCTTGTGTCTTTGGTGTTCTTCAGGCTCCTTTACTCCAGGTGGTTGGGACCAACTGATGCATCTTAGATGGCTGCTTACAAGCTTTTAAGATCCCAGATGCCACCTACCAAAGTAGGATGCAGAACATTTTCTTAATAAGATTTGTTATGCCAATTGACCTAGATGTCCCCTGAAAGCATGGTCCCCAGACCCCTACCCCTGCTACTCTGTCCCTCAAAGTATTTGATTGTATTCAGGAAACTTCTTAGCTTTGGTTTAGTCCAGTTGCGCTGACTTCCCCTGTAGTGTGTGCTGTCCTTCCCTTCACCTAAGATAATTCTTATCTACTATCTAGTTAGTAAATAACCCTCACCCTCCCTCCCCACCCTCATAACCATAAAAGAATGTTTTATTCTGTGTTTAAACCTTTTCTTGAGTTCTTATAATAGTGGTCTTATACAATATTTGTCCTGTGACTGACTAAATTCACTCAGCATAATACCCTTCAGATTCCTCCATGTTATGTTTCACGGCTTCATTGCTGCTCTTTATCATTGCACAGGATTCCATTGTGTGGACATACCATAATTTGTTTATCCATTTGTCCGTTGATGGGCACCTAGGTTGTTTCCATCTTTTTGCTATTGTGAACAGTGCTGCAATGAACATGAGTGTGCATACATCTATTCGTGTGATGGCTCTTATTTTTCTAGGATATATCTCAAAGAGCGGGACAGCTGGATCGTATGGTACTTCTGTTTCTAGCTTTTTAAGGAAGCGCCAAATCGATTTCCAAAGTGGTTGTACCATTTTACATCCCCACCAACAGTGTATAAGTGTTCCAGTCTCTCCACCACCTCTCCAGCATTTATTATTTTGTGTTTTTTGGATTAATGCTAGCCTTGCTGGGGTGAGATGATATCTCATTGTAGTTTTGATCTGTATTTCTCTAATGGCTAATGATCGTGAGCATTTCTTCATGTGTCTGTTAGCCGCCTGAATGTTGTTTGATTTCTTGACTGCTGCTTCCACGGGCATTGATTGTGGATCCAAGTAAAATGAAATTCTTGACAACTTCAATATTTTCTCCATTTATCATGATGTTGCTTACTGGTCCAGTTGTGAAGATTTTTGTTTTCTTTATGTTGAGGTGTAATCCATACTGAAGACATTTTATAGACAAGGAGACTGAGACCTAAAAAGATTCAATAACTTGCCCATAGTCACAACAAACTAAGACCAGATTCCAGAAGGGTTTGGCACCCCAAAGAGCTCCAACAGAGGTGGTAAGGAATTTCAAGTGGGTTACTAGGGATGCTTCATGAGGAAGTAACATCTGAAGCAGCTGATGAAGGCATGACCAAGACCAGGGGCAAGACAGCACAAGGAATGTTCACAGGAGTAGAAGTACACAGTTGTGGTGAAACTATGGTGCTTTCAAGGCAGAGTTGTGAGAGAGGGCTCAAAGGTCTCCTTTGGCCCAGATCACGCAGGTGCATGAATGGCAAGCTACACATCTGTCCCTGGCCTTCACAGGACTTTTCCTGAAACAGAAATCCATTCAAGCAGAAGCCTAGGACCCCTGTCTATGGAAGGAAGCAAGGTCCTGTTTCCAACTTGAACTAATGATACATGAAAAAGTAGAAGCAACTTTCAGAGTTGAGCTCTGCATCCAAGTTACTCTGCGCGCTAGGATGGACTGAAGGGGGACATGGTTTGGGTCTATTATATCATGATATATTATAAAGCAATAGGGTAAAGTAGTTAAGATCAAGCCTTTAGGGTCAGATAAACCTGGGTTCAAATCCTGACTCCACCTTTAATTTGCATGACCCTGGGCAATTTATTAAACTTCTCTGAGCCTGCATCCTCCTTTGTAAAACATGAATAAAAAATATATTCCTCATAGGGTTGCTGTGAGAAAAGAATAAGTATATACATAATGTGCTTAACACAGTGCCTGGTAAAAGAGTGATCCCCAACAAATGGTAGCTATTCATTCATTCAACATGTTCATTGAGCTTTTGTTCTTACCAACCAAGCAAGCCTAGAGAAACTCACACAGCACAGCACAGACCTTAACATGCATCTGAGGTCTGCTTATTACACCTTTCACAAATACCCAAACTTGCAAATACAACAGAGGGAGACCTTCTGCATGGATAGATTTATATTAAGAGTGGAATAATAAATACGGCTGTAGACTCACTCAAAAACTAATGATACAAGACTAAATGGGCAACACTACCCAAAAGCAAAGAAGAGAAGGCAGGAAGGGACTGGAAAACTGGACAAATGGAAACAGGGAATGCAGGGTGGAAAGGGGGAGAGTGCTGACACACTGCGGGGATTGCAACCAATGTCACGAAACAATTTGTGTATAAATTTTTGCAAGAGAAACTAATTTGCTCTGTAAACTTAACCTAAAGCACAACTTAAAAAAAATAATTACAATTTTCCCTTGTATTTATAAATTGCTTGAGAAGACTAAGGCAGATATATATATATATATATATATATATGTATATATACATAAATATAATTTAGGGTGAGTTCTAGGGAGCGAAATACTTTCTCTAACAAAAAAATAAAATAAAATCACAAGCCAAACTGTAGAACCATAAAACCCAGGGCAAGATAAGCTTCGCTTTCTCTGACAATAGGATATTATCATGTGGTTTATTTGTCACGCATTCAGATAATCAACAGAAGTACTAATGGGTTTCCCCCAATCCCAACATTGCTCCAACTCCCCCAAAATAAGGTCTGAGATATACCTTCACTACATTTAAAGGCAAAGAAAGGTTAATGCCTCTTTGATAAAGGCAGAAAATGAATAAGGATCTGTAGAAGCTCTGCCACTAACTGTGTGACTTTCTCTGGACCCACTCAGACAATATAATCTCTTTTTTTCCAGTTCTAAGAGACACAGCTAACAACATCTCAGTTTTAAACAGGTGACCTCAGAAATGGAGACTAAACAAGTCTCTACCTTTGGGAGTATTTGGATGAGTATCGGACATGCAAAGCAAGGCCAGAAGCATAAAGTGATGTCAGGGAAAAGTCATTCTTGGGGAAATGTCGCAAAATTCTCCTAATATATCCTATACCTTTCTTCATCATGTCTCGATCCAAGGCTACATTTCTTTGGGCAAGGTTTACTTCTGACCGAAAATGGAAGCGCTTGGCTCGCTGTTCTTTCTTTTCAATTGCTTCCTAGAAAGTACAGAAAAAGTCAAAGTAGTGAAACATGAAGGAGGAAAGTTAAATCACAAACACAACATGATGCATTAGTGAAAACCCTAAAGGAAATATGAAGAAAAGGGCAACACTGTACCTTAAATAACTGCAGAGAATTGGATATTCACATTCAATACCTGGGAGGCAATACACTAACACTGCTATAATTTGGTAATAATCTCCAAGATGATTCAGTGCCTATCACTGTGCCTGGGACATAGTAAGAACTCAGTAAATATTTGTTGACTGAATGAATAGGGCTTTAGAGCTCATGAAGTCCCCTGACATTTCATTATTATTAACAATCATGGAACAAATTACAACTAAACAATCTCAACATCCGAATTTTCCATGTGCAAAAACTGAGATAGAAAAAAGTAAAAAGGTTTGCTGGAGGTACTTCAACTAGCACAGGGGAGATCTTCCAAATCCAGTGCTATTTCCAGGAGCCCCACACCAGCAGCACCACCATTTCACATCCTCTATATGCATGGTAATCACACCTATCATGCTCTTCCACACAGTAAGTCTGCCTGAGCAGTCCACTCCCTGAAGCTATTTTTCTGTTTAAAAATAACATCAATGCTAAGAATCTCTCTCCTCCGTTTTAGCCTTGCCTCTGTGGAATTGCCAGTTTTCATCTTTAAGTGACAAGAAGCATTGGAGCTTCCCTGAAAAACAAAATAATCAGCTTCATTAAGTTTTTTCCAAGAGCTAAAATAAACCCAGGTCCAACTGTGGGTTTCTTTCTGATGGCTCTTAGGAACCCTTCACTAATTGTATATTGACTTTGCCACCCTAATTGAAGATCTGACTATAGAAAGCTTGTGGGGATTGGTAAAGCAGCAACACTTCTGTTTATTTCCCAATAGTTATGCTAATTTTCTTCACTGAAGTTTTCCCAGTGCAAACAACTTATCTACCTTACTTTGGTAATAACTTAAGTACCAATTCTGGGGTTACCAGCCTTTCTCCCATATATTTGTTCCATATAATGGCAAACCGTGTAGGATTAAGAACAGTACAGTCTACTTCTTTTTCAATTACAATAAGAATAAGAACACATTTCACTTTATTCTGTTTTCTTGCTTGTTTAGAAGATGATCAATTCTCTTTCTTTGGCCTTTAAGCAGTCTGACACAGACTGAGACCCGGATAAAACATTAAAAGGTAAGCACAACGTATTTAATTTTTATTTTTGCTTTTACGCATCCAATATAGTATTACTATTTGGAACTGTTATTCATAATTCTGTGTCAAACTTAATTGAACACATTAAAATCAGAAACAATGTCTAAACTGGATATGACCAATCAAAGCAACACATACGTATGGACTGCTTATAATAAAGGAAACAATAGGTTTGGCTCTATGAGACGCTGCAATGAAGCTGGTAATCTAGTTAATAGCAATCACTAGTTAAAAGGCAATACTCTCGGGTACTAAGAATAACTTAGTTGACTTGGCCTTCAAAGTTCAGGCAGCCACACAATCAGGAAACCCTATTTTTCTAAGCCTGCAACCCATGATGAATAAAGACATTTACTAAGGGCCTACCATGTGCCAGGCACTTTTCATTTTTTGTTTCATTTAAAATGGTCACAACACACATTTTTAAAGAATGGACATAGCATAAAAAAAGCACCCCAGCACAGAATTTTTTCTTGGAAATGGTTAAGCACAGACATGCAGGTATAGTGATTTTATCTTTTCGAAGATGTAATGCTGCTTGGATGTGCTGCCTGGATGTGTTTTGGGATACAGGAGGGTTGCTTTATGTAACATGCAATTAAAAAAAAAAAAAAATTTAATCCAGCAACAAGGGTGAAAAAAAAAAAAGGAAGTAAAGAATAATTACTGTTGCATTATGTCCTAGGAACCAAGTTCCTAGGACACTTATCAAACTGAATTAACCAATTATGGTCTGTTTTACCTTGGAGGTGACATCGATTCCAGTGATAAAGCTGCCAGCCTTGTTTTCATATCTTCTACTTGTGTCCTACCACAAAGGGAAAGGGTGAGAAATGCTGACAGCAACTGAGGAAAAACTCATGATAAAAGACAGCCTGACAACTGATTCTATTTGGATAGTCATTCTTTTCAGCAACCCCTCCCCCACCTGACAACCCCTTATTATGAGAAAGCCTGTCCCAGTGACTCTAAGACGTCCTTTCTAGACCACAGCTTGTCCAAAACCTGAAGTAATTCCATCAACTGAAGATATCCATGTAAATGTGAATCTGAAGGCTTTGGAGAAAAATGTCAAAGATGAGGCGCAGTCACTTCTTATCTCCCCAACCCAGACTGGACAAATTCCCCATGCTAGGCCACCAGATGGAGCACAAGTATCTACCAAAATGCAGAAAGCCCGGACTCCCCTAGAGTTCAAGGGGAAAACACAGAATAGTAGAACGAAAAGAAGATGGGGTTTGGACACAGAGGATTAAAGCTGCAGTTCTGATGCTCACTAATCACAAGACACTGTACAATCCTTTTGACCTCTCTGGACCTCAGTTTCTTTCAGGGCATCTGCCTACCTTCCTGACCTCTTTTACTACTGTCTCACTTGCGCTACAGAACTTTCCATTTCTCCAACAAAACAGTCTTGTTCCATCTCAGAGCTTTTGCATTTGCTGTTACCTGTATCGGGAACACTCTCTTCCAATCTGCACATTGTTGGCTCCTTTTTGTCATTAGGGTTCAATTTAAATGTCACTGCCTCAGAAGGCTTCCCTGACCATCCTATCACATTCTGCTTCCCTGCACAGCCTCCCTGCTCCCAGCACGTTATTCCGTTAACAGGTTTTATTTTCTTCAAATACATACCACTATCAGAAATTATTTGTTCACTTGTTTATTATCTGTGTCTCCCAACTAGAACATAAACTCCAGGAGGGAAGACTGATCTTGATCTTGATCTTGATCAAGCGCCTAGGGACAGTGCCTGGCACATAGTGGGGGGTGCGATAAACAGATGCTGAATTGAATGAATGAAGGGATGATAATACCTACTTCACAGGTGCAGTGATATTTACGTAACAGCATAATGTAGTACACGGTAAAGCGTCATTGCATTAATTCTTGTTACCATAATCATTATCATTTGCCATCTCTAGTAATTCTACCTTAACCTTTTCCTGTAACTTCAGTTTAAAGCAAGATTTGCTGACATGTGGTAAAAAGTAGTGAGAAATTAAGTACAGGAGAGGACCCTCCAGGCCTGAGACCAGTTGTCTAAGAACCGGACATACGACTGCCAGACCACAAGCAAAACACCTCTCCCCATCCCCTTTGTGATAAAAGAAGGGCCAAGGAACACTACTGGTCCAGATACTCTGGTTTCACTAGAGGTCAGATGTTCAGGCGACGGTGTAGGTGTAGGTGCCATACCGCAGTGGAGCTGCGCGGGGACAAGATGACCATCAAGCCACTACAGAAAACACAGTGAGTTTCTGCTGCCGACGAATCCAGTCTTCCCAAGAGAGGCAGCGAGTGCCATGTTTAAGACACCAAATACACTACAGCAGGTCCCACAAGGAGACCTGGATGCCGGGACCACTCAACAGTTCCTTCTGGGCCGCCCCGGTTCTGTTCCCGCCCGAAGCGTCCCCATTATCTCAAACCCAGCCCCTCTTCGTTCACTCCCTTCCACAAACAGGTTCAGAGAGGCAGCGCAGGGGGTGTCCTCAACTAACCCCCAGCTTTCCCCATCTCCTCCAGCCCCCTCAACATCTATTTCCGGGCGCCCGGTATCCTTTCTCTCTCTCCCCCTCTTCAAGCCCGGCGCCCCCGCCCCCGGGGTCTCACTCCCCTCTCTCCCCAACCCCGGACTTCCCCCGCCCTGGGCGCCGGCCACCTCCCCTTCCGGCCCCCTCGAGCGCGAGGCACTCCCTCCCCGACCTCCTCTTCGACCCCCGCCCCCCGCCCGTACCGGGATCAGTTCCTTCAGTGAGCGTCGCACCGGCACGATCTCCAGCTCGCCCTCCTCCACCTCCATGGGTTCCGGTTCGCCACGCTCCAAACCAGGCTCGGCTTCTGGCGAAGGGAGCCCCAGGGCCGGCCCTGCCGTGGCCTCTGCCTTCACCGACACTCGCAGGCCCCGTACGGCCGCCATCGCCGCCCGCCGGCAGCACCACTGAGAGCCCGCTCCTCACACCCGGGGGCTAGAGCGCCGCCACCACCGGCCACAGAGGAGCCGTCGCCGCTATCCAGAGTGTCACTTGATTAGTCCAGAAGGTGGTCCTCAGCTCCGCCGCTCCCTGGTGGTTGGAGGAACCACCGCCAGCTGGGGCGGGACCTGGAGAGGAGGAGGCGGGACTGAGTGGGAAGGGGGGCAGGGCCTGCTGGAGGGGGCGGGGCTTCGAGGAGACCCATTTACTGAGCAAGGAGCTCTGGTGGTGCAGTGGTTAAGAGCTCAGCTGCTAACGGCAGTTCGAATCCACCAGCTCCTCCTTAGAAACCCTGAAGGGGCAGTTCTACCCTGTCCTGTAGGGTCATTGTGAGTCAGAATGGACTCAACCGCAGTGGGTTTGGTTTTTGGTTTTACTGAGCAAGAGCCTTGTTGGCGCAGTGGTTAAAAGTGCTTGGCTACTAACTGAAAGGTTGGCGGTTTGAACCGACCAGCCGCTGCACAGGAGAAAGATGTGGCAGCCTGCTTCCGTAAAGACTATAGCCTCGGAAACCCTATGGGGCAGTTCTACTCTGTCCTGTACGGTGGCTATGAGTCGAAATCGACTCGACAGCAATGGATTTGGTTTACTGAACAATCACTATGCATGCGGCAGACACTGTTCTAAGCGCTTGAATCCTTGCAACAACCCTATGAAGCAGGCCCTCCTGTTATTATCCCCATTTCATATATAAGGAAACTGCGGCATAGAAATTTACCCAAGGGACAGGCTATTTAAGGGGTAAAACCTGGATCTGAGCCTAGGTATTCTGATCCCAGAGCCCAGAATGAGCTTTGGTTCATCACTTCTGTGCAGTCTGTAGGCTGCCTTGCCAACCTTTCTCTTTTTAGTCTCCCAGTAATTGGCCCATTTTACATATCCAAAAACTGAGACTCCAAGAGGGTTGTCACCTGCTCTAAGGCCAGACCTTGAACCCCAATTTCCTGACTCCTACGGGCTGGGTCCACTATAGACCTCTGAGAATGGTTTCCTGCAGACATTTCTAACAATAACCTGGTTGAGCGAGAGATGGTGTTGTTCTAGGCTTGCAGCAGGGAGACTGATCAATTTTTGCTTTGGATAATGATTTTGCCCTTCCTCGTGGTGTAACTTTGGGCAGGTTCCGGGCCTTTCTGGACCCCAGTCTGCCCATCTGTGAAGGGAGTAGGGGGCACTCTAGGGTCTCTGAGGCCCTTTCACCTCTGACCATGGAGGAACGAATCATTATAAACCAAGGGAGAACATCGTCAGCATCCGACACGCCTGGGTTCCAAGCTGGATGGCTCTGCCCCTTACACCATGTGTGACCTTGGACAAGCCACTTAACCCTTCGAAGGCTCAGTTCTTTCATCAGTAAAATGGGACAAAATTACCCACCTCCAAAGGAGGTTGTGAAAATTAAAGAAGATAATTATGTGTAGATGTAGGGTCCAACAGAAGGGGTGCAGTACAATCATAGTTTTTTCTTAAAGTTGGAGTAAACCATAGGATAAACACAGAATGGAGCTCTTTAAAGGGCTAATTTTCCTTGAATATGACTCAAAGTATTTACAAAATTGGGTTGAATGCATGGAATGGGATAGAATGTAAAATTTGTGTGAATTTTTAAGAACACTTCAATGAAAGTTTGTGCTTGGGGTGGCCAGCTTTTGAGTGGCAGCCACAGGCATCATTACACTTGTTTTCTAGGCTATCGGGGTTGAGGTAGGGGGGAGAAGAGGGGGAGATGGGGAGAGGAGGAGGCAGTCCTTCCTCAGCTACGAACACTAGGAGACCAGCAGAGAAGGCAGGACAGGCTCGTCTTCCTGCTGGGGAAGAGCCTTGCTACTTGAGAATTCAATTCAGTGAGAACTTTACACAATGCAGTTCAGAGGAGAACCAGCCCCTGGGGAAGCTAGAGCTGGCAGGTGAATTAGGAATCCAGGGCAATCCAAGGCATCAAGCAATCAAACAGCAGGGCTCCTAGGCTTCTCTCAGGAATGCCCTTTGTGCCTTTCACTTTTTGATCACCAAACTCACCTTTCCACCCCTGCCACCCTCATGCAGCCTGCTGAGGTGAGGCCACAGAGAATTGTTGTTAGCAACTCATGGCTCCCCCATGCACAACAGAATGAAATGCTGCCTGGTCCTGTGCCATCCTCATGATCAGTTTCAGATCAGACTGATATGATCCATAGGGCTTTCACTGACTGATTTTCAGAAGTCGGTTGCCAGGCTTTTCTTCCTAGTCCATTTTAGTCTGGAAGCTCCACTGAAATCTGTTCAGCATCATATCAACAGAAACCCCCCAATAACAGATAGGTGGTGTTTGCTCATGAGGTACATTGGCTGGAAATCAAACCCAGGTCTCCTGCATGGAAGGGGAGAATTCTACCACTGAGCCACCAATGCCCCCTACAGAGAATTAGGAGGTGGTAAAGAATAATTTTCAAAAAGTTTAAAAAAAAAAAAGACTGTCATACAAATACAAAACGAACACATGTAAAGCTTTTATTCAACTCATCAGTGAGTAAATAAGCGGTTAAGACTAGTTTGAAAGAGCATTTGAAGCGTGGGTATTTATAGAATTGGTCAGTCAAAAGAATGCTGAAATGAATTTAATAAGACAGGCAAGTGCCCTGCAAGACAATAAATTGTAACCTTTGGAGTTCCCTTTTCTGCCAGACAGAAGACATCTGCTATTGGACAAAAATTATTTAGTTGCTATGAATTTTTTATCACTTAACCTCTACCCTTACAGAGTTGTAAAATTCTCTAATCAATAGTAAATAGGAAGTCAAACAACGTACACATCCCTAAAAAAATCAGACAGTCCCCAGGCGGAATAGGCATATTGGATAACACCCAGCATTACATTGACAGGACAATCCAGAAATCTTTTGTTCCTATTTCCAAAGTTTGGATAATTTTTATTAGCAGAGGAAGCCAGGCCAGTAGGACATTGGGACTAGAGGGAATTTCAGGAAAGGAGTGATCAACTATCAGATGCAGCCACAAGTCCACAAATGGAACTTGTCTTGGGTTTAGGAGTCTGTTGGCCACTAGTGACCTTGAGGAGACCCATGTCTGTGAAGGGGAAGGCAGACTAGTGGCGGAAGTTGAGGAAGTGTGGACAACTCTTTTGAGAAGTTTGTAAAGGGAGGCTGGGAGGGTATTAGATGGGTCTTCAAAAAGGTTCCTTTTTTTTTTTTTTTTTTTAACTGAAATTGTCCACTCCTTCTCTTTTCTCCCTCCGTCCTCAATCCAGGGAGGAGGGGAGTAAAAATGGAATCTTACCCCTTTGAAGTAACAGGGAGAAGCCATTAAAAGATCATATAAGCTCCTAAGGTGAAATCAAACACCATTTGAGGACTGGTTAACGAGGTCCACTGACCTGAGGTGATGCCCTGCTGATTAAAGCAGAGATGTTCTTCAAATGTGCCTTGAAACTGGACACACACACACCCTAGTTCCCATACTCCCCGGATATGTTTATCCTTGGAACATGTGCAAGTTGGTAGTTAAGCAGGTCGGTAGTTTAAGGTCCACAGTTAAAGGCTCACGAGGCAGCTAACCCTTGTGGGGAAGCTACATCCATGCCTCTAATCCCTTCCACACCTAAATTCTTAGAAGGGCTGTCTTCCCTCACTTTGCCCATTCCCCTAACCTCCGTTGACCACTCAGCATCATAGTCAATGATGGCCACTCCTTAGTTCTTGAAACCACACATACTCTTCCATCAGAATGTCACACTCATCTGGTTTTCTCCTGACCTCTCAGACTGCTCCTGCTCTAGTATCTTCGTGGGTTCTTTTTCCTCACCAAACAGTAACAGTCCCTCTGGGCTTAATCCTGGGCCCTCTTCTCTTCTCACCCCACGCTAGCTCCATACGCCTCCTCGTCCGTACCCACAGCTTCCACTGCCATCTTATAACTTGATGACCCCCATATCTCCATCTTATACCTTGATGACCCCCATATCTCCAATTCTAGTTCTCACCTCTCCTCTGAGCTCCAGATCCACACGTCCAACTGCCTACTGGACATCTTTCCTTGAATGTCTCAAGGCATCTCAGACTCAACCTGCCTAAGACTTAGGGTCCTCCCTTCTGATCCTGGTTCATTCCTGTGTTCCCTATCTCCCTGGCCAGCACAATCATCAGTCCAGGTATGGAAGCCTGGAAGCTAGGACCTACCCTTGACACCTTCCTCTCCCACTACCATACCAGTCCACACATAGTCTTGTCAGTCTGACCTCGTCCATATCCCTCATGTCCATCCGCTTCTCCCCTCACCCCCTCAACTACCACCCTTCAGCTACTTTCCATCTTAGCCACCATCATCCCTTGCCTGGACACTACAATGGCCTCCTCACTGATCTCTCTGTTTTTCCAGTTCCTCCATTCCCATCCCAACTCTACACTGCAGCCAGAGTGATCTTTTCAGCACACGTTATCCAGCCCCTGCCCACTTCTCTAGCTTCATCTTGCACTGCTTTCCTCCTCGCTCCCAACATCACCACTTCAGTTCTTGGAAAGCATCATGTTCTCTCCTACCACAGGGCCTTTGCACAAGCTAGTTTAGCTGCCTTGAGCTCTCTTTCTTCCCCATGGCCTAATTAGCTCCTCCTCAACTTCAGATCTCAGCTGGAGCTTCCCTTTCTCTGGAAGCCTCCTTAACTACTCTCGGGCCACCACAAACCTTCCCTATGGAGCACCCATATCAGTTCAAAATCATCCACGAACCTGCATGGCAGCGTGATTAATGTCTGTCTCCTGTGCTGGACTGTGAGAGCCATGAGAACAGCAACAGTGTTGCTTTAGCTCTAGATCAGGGCTGTTCAGGTCAACCCTGGCTGTTCGTTAAAATCAGCCAGGGAGCTGTTACAATCCTGATAGCCAGACAACATTCCAGACCAATTAAATTAGAATCCCCACAGGTGGGGCCCAGGCATCAGTATTTTTTTTTAAGTGCACATATTGTTTTATGACAATGGTTAACAACCCCA